ACACACACACACACACACACACACACACACACACACACAAAGACACACACGTTTTTAAGAATCCAAAAACAGCATACCAAACCAATATTTATACTGAAATGCAAACTTAAAGGGGATCTACGTCTACCTTTCTTCTCGAAGGTATTAGATTCATCCTGAGAAACTAAAGGTCATATATGTACAAGGTTGGTTCACATCTTACTCACCCAGCACGAGAGGGGGAGGGGGGATTATTAATGGTCTTCTGTGCCATTAACAGGAAAACCAACTCGTCCACTGGTTGGGTGTTCCTCTCATCCCATACTTCTCTGGCGTAGGGTAGTATATTTTTGGGGGGTAAGTGTTTTACGGAGCTCGCAACTACCTAAGGGCACGTCCATAGAGAAAGATTCAAGCGCTAGGAAGCTAGCGCCAGACGTCTGGCGCCTTTAGTCCAAGCGCCGGGTCAGTTTGTGGTGCACGTAGAGAACGCGGGAGAATCTAGCACTTTGTCGACATGTCGTCCTCAGAAGACGAACTCTTTTTATTGGATAGCATTTTGTTGATGTGGGAGGGTATGGAAAATAAAGTGATGGGGGAACATTTCAAGTCTCGGATTTCTATAGGGCTCTGGAGTCTGGAAAATTGGATTTGCCTAAGCCTGCATATTTGCCCTAAACAATGGTGAAAGCTCCTTTTGTCTTTGTCGCAGATGAAACATACCCTTTAAGGCCTATTTTTCTAAAACGGTGCAGTGGCACATATGAGCAAGAAAATTTCAACAAGAGATAGTCCAGATGCAGAAGAACTGTGGAAAGCGCTTTTGGAATTTTATCTGCAAAGTGGCACCTTCTCAACAAGCCCATTGAAACAAGAATTGAACTAGTAGATTCCATCGTAAAGTGTACCTGTTTTAGACAGAGAGGGTATGGAGCGAAACTTCACAGATGTTTGATTTCCAGGCCCAGGCGTGGCTTGGAACTGCACCGGCAGGCCAAGCAATGATACCAAACGTGTCTGAGATCTATTTACCTCGTACTTTGCAAATGATCCCTTAGTTTTCAAGAAACAGACATGGATGCCTGAACGGCTTTATTCTATCCATCGACATTGTACAGTGGAACCTCAGTACGGGACACGCTGACTGTTGTGTCTGCGTTTTGTGCTACACACAGTCTGCCTGCTGTGTATGGGGTAGTAGGGTAGTAGGTAGCCTATACACACACAGTAGTCATGAACTAGCCTAGCTCTGTTGCCTGTAGCTGTAGGCTAACCAGAGCGCAATACATGTAGGCTAATGCATTCTATCAAAGAAAAAAGGCTCAATACTCTCTTTAAGTGTTGAGTTTAATCAGTACGAGTAAAAATACTAGTACAATTGACTTAAAGAATGAGAGAAACAGAGAGAGAGACAGAGAGAGAGAGGAGAGAGAGAGGGAGAGAGAGAGTGAGAGAGAGGAGAGAGAGAGAGAGAGAGAGAGAGAGAGAGAGAGAGAGAGAGAGAGAGAGAGAGAGAGAGAGAGAGAGAGAGAGAGAGAGAGAGAGAGAGAGAGAGAGAATGGCGTGCATAGTTTACCTTCAGTATGCATTTCTTTTCTGATGTCTTTCCATGCAGCATCTTCAACATTTCTGTTGGCATGGTCTTTTCACCGCTTATCCCATATAGCGGGCCTTTTAAAAACGGCAGTTATCAGTGTGTCAACATCATTGTTCGCAAGCACGTACAAAGGCCACTAAACACAACACAGCACTGTGCACTCCCTGATCAAGCGACTTCAACGCCAGAAAACAATTCAATTTCAACTATGTGTACCACAAGAGAATAAGTGACCAATATTTCGTGCTAGACTTCTGGCGCTAGGTTTCTAGCGCTTTAAGCTTTTTCTACGGACCTACCCTTAGGAAAGACATCAGCAAAGAAATGAATATTGAAGGTAAACTATGCACCCCAGTTTCAATCAAAGAGACAACGAATCAATGAGATAGAAAAAAGAAAGTTTGAGTACTTTGAAAAGAAGACAAGAAAAGATCAAGACCCTGAAGGTGATGATCTCTTGTTCATGAAATTAATCTCTGTAGCCTTACATAAAAAGTATAATTTCTACCGAAATGAAGTTGCCTTCAGAAGTTGCATTCAGAATGTGGTGGTGGAGTTCGTCTTCGCCGATAGTCCAACAAGCATGCGAATTTCACAGAGTAGTGTCTAATGCTATGACACAACGTCAACGTTGCGCTATCAAAGCCATCATAGCAGCAGAGAATCCTCGCCATCTTACTACACCAGCACTCGCGCACCTTCAGCCTCTCCTCGCAGCTATCAGTCAAACGATTCTGATGCGGCCCAATTGAGCTACAACTTAAACTATTTAAATAACTTGACCATAAATAACAGTATTACGCGCTTTCAAAGTGAAAGCGTCCAATAAACTATTGAGGAGGCTCTCGCGGCCTAGAGGTTAAGGTGTTCGCCTCTCATTCAAAGATCCCGGGTTCGAATCTGGGAAGCGACCGTAACATAATTTTCTTCTCTAATTGTCTCTTTTCACTTCATTTCCTGCTGTCTAGCAATGTTCTGTCGCCTGCTTTCGTCTCCATTTTCTGCCCCCACCCCCTCGCCTCCTTTGACTCCTCCTCTGGACTCCTGACTCTTTCTACAGCCTTTCTACTGCTAATCATTGGC